ACAGTATGAGAAGTTGGGTGAGTCTCCCCTCCCATACTGAAGACTTTGGAGTCTTCCTATGGGAGCTGTGGGATGAGATGTTGCTCTCATCAAACTCTGTTTCTGCTTTTCCTTTGCAGGTTTACGTGCTGCAAATCTGAGTAAGTCTCCCTCCCTGCACTGAAGGAATCTGGGGTCTTCCCATAGCAATCAGTCATGGTAGGCAATCTCATCCTTCTCATCATGCATTGCTTATTTCCTTTGCAGAGAAACAAGTTGAAAAACTGGGTGAGTCCTCTCTCCAATATTAGAAAAAAGGGGTCTTCCTATGGGAGCTGTGGAATGAGATGTTCCTCTCATTATGCCTTGCTTTCTCTTTCTTTTTCAGAGAATGAAATTGAAGAAGTGGGTGAGTCTTCTTCCCGATCCAAGGGAATTTGGGGTCTTCCCAAGGGAAAACATACGGGCTGAAAAATCCCCTCTGACCATGTCCTGCTTTTCTCCTTCTTTCGCAGAGAAACACTTTAAAAAGATTGGTGAGTCTCCTCTCCCAATTTGAAATCCCCGCTGTCTTCCTGTGTGAACTGTGGGATGAGATGTTCCCCTCATCATTCACTGTTTCTGCTTTTCCTTCGCAGGTATACGCACTCCTAATCTGAGTAAGTCTTCCTCCCCAAACGAAAGAGATTTGGGGTCTCCTCTTGTGATCAGCCATGAGATGATAACCTGAACCTTCTCATCATGCATTTCTCATTGGTTCCTTTTGCAGAGCTACACATGGCAGAACTGGGTGAGTCCTCCCTCCCAAATTAACAACACAGGGATCTGCCTGTGTGAACTGTGGGATGAGGTTCCCCTCCTCATGCATTGCTTTTCTCTGCCATTTCCAGTGGATCAAGCTGAAGCTGTGGGTGAGTCTTCTTCCCCAAAGCAAAGGAATTTGAGGTTTCCCATGGGATGACAAGATGTCCCACCTCATCATGCGGTGCTTTTTCTTCTTTACTTTTGCAGAGAATAGGAAATCAGAGCTGAGTAAGTTGCAATCACAAAACCGAGGGAATTTGGGGTCTTCCCAAGGGACTGCATATGGGATGAAAAATCCCCTCTGACCATGCACTGCTTTTCTCTTTCTTTTCCAGAGAGACATTTAACAAATACTGGTGAGTCCCCCCCCAAATTTAAAAAATGGGGTCTTCCTATGGGAGCTGTGCAATGAGATGTTCTTCTCATCATACACTGTTACTCTGTTTCCTTTGCAGATTTACGTACTGCGGATCTGAGTAAGTCTCCCTCCGTAAATGGAAGGTTTTTGGGGCCTTCCCATGGGATCAGCCATGGGATGATCATCTGATCCTTCTCATCATGTGTTTATTTTTTGTTTCTTTTGCAGAGAAAAATGTTGCAGAGCTTGGTGAGTCCGTCCTCCCAAATTAAAAACATCTGGGTCTGTCTGTGTGAGCTGTGAGATGAGATGTTCCTCTCATCAAATATTGCTTTGCTCTTTCATTTCCAGAGAAACGAACAGAAGCAGTGGGTGAGTCTTTGTCCCCAAACTAAAGAAAGACGGGGTTTCCCATGGGATGACAAACTGTCCCACCTCATCATGCTTAAATTTCCTTTTCCTTTTCCAGTGGTAGAAACTAAAGAATCAGGTGAGTCTTCCCCAAACTAAAGGAATATGGGGCTTCCCGTGGGATGACAAGCTGTCCCACCTCAGCATCCGTTGCTTTTCTCTTTCTGTTCCAGGAAAACCACCTAAAGAACAGGACTGAGAGATGAACTGCGCCTCACGGTAACCACAGGAGTCAAGCTTCACAGACTGCTGATTGCACAGGATGCCAAAACCACAATAACTCCAAGTGAGAAAGGAAACCCACACTGAAACAAGTGGAGCCAGTTTTCGTTCTGAGTGAGAACACAGAACTGCAGTTCTGTGAGCCAAAGCTGACTAAGCAACCACCGAAGTGAGGATGTGTGACCTCCAACTGAAATTTAATTGGATGAAAGAAACCATAGGAAGGACGAAAATGGGAGGAAGACAGAGATCCTGGAAAAGGGATGGACATTTTGGGAAATAACAAAACCGTGTATCAGGCTTTGTGGGCATCTAATGAATATGTAACACTATTTGAAATAGAAGCATGCACATAGGAGCAAAGATAGAAAAGAGTTTTGGGTGTTAACACTGTTCTTCTCTGTCACAACATAATAAAGCATACCTGCTGTTGATAATCAATCACTGATTGTTATCAGTAATTGGGGGCTTGGTTCCACGGAACAGGCTGAGTCTTCATCCTGGAACCAAAGCAATGCAGGCTCTATCGGAAAACAAGCTGACCCGTCTCACCATGCTTGGCTTTCCCAGCAGAACAAGGCTCCCTCCGGGAAGCTAAAAAGGAAGAAACAAAATACACAAAAAATACACAAAAATAAGAAAATTTGAAAAAGAACACTAAAAAAAAAATATCTATAATTATAGCAATAATAATAACCTAAATGTAACACACCTACCTTCCTCAAGGGGGGAGCACCAACCACAGCCCTTTGTGTCCCATCCCAGTGCTATGAGAACAGCCCTGCATTTCAGAGCTGACCCTCCACAGCAGGAGGGACTCTCCTCCACAGTGACCCCCATCACTCACACTGGATGCCCAAAGAAACAACAGCCCTAAAGGTTCCTCCTAGTGCTTCAGCCACGTGTGTTCCTCATTCTGCTGTGCTGATGGTAACCATTCACCAAGAGCTCATCCAGCAGCTTATGGCTCGGCTGGGAGCTGCTGAACAAGCTTGGAGCTTCACATTCTTCCAGCACACATCCCACAGGACAGCCCTCTCCCTTTCACTCCCCACCATTGGAGCTCTCCTTAATCACAGGAATCCAGATTCCATGCACTCAGTGCACCCAGCGATTGCCCACCTTCCCCACAAACACTTTCTTGACCCCACAAATCCCGCAGCATGGGAAGAGGGGCTGTGGGGGTGTCATAGAGATAAACATTATTAATTTCTGCTTTAATGGTTGATCAACTTAAAAATCCCTGCTGACCAATAAAGAATCATAACTTGGGCATAGCTCAGAGCAAGATCATGGAGTACAGCCTGCAGCTTTCCCCTGTGCTATGACAATGCCTCTCCTGGGTACATGATCCTGGCGGATGCAGAGCCCCAGGGCTGTGCACGAAACTGCAATGAGGTGTGGTTAATGATCTCCAACCTTTGCCCACATTGATCCATGGCCAAGTTCCTCCTATTGAACCCTGGAGCTGGGCAAAGGTAGGAGAAGGTGGGTGTAGCCATGCACTGCCTGCAGCTCAGGTGAGGGAATTCTCTCTCTGTGGGGTTCCTTGTAGGGGAAATCTTTGGGGGGTTACCTGCTCTGCCCCGCAGCCAGTGAGGAGCACTGGCACTGCCCAAGGCGGTGGTGGCTATGCTCATGGAACTCATGTTTGACTGACCCCATCCCCTCCTGCTCTGGTGGCTGTAACCCTCTGGGTCCCTCTCTTCTCCTACAGCTTCTGGCGTCATATTCTTCCCGTACTTCTTCCACATCTCCTTTCCAGATCTCCTTCCCCATCTTTTCCAGCCTCCTACTCTATCTCTGTCCACAATCTTCTTCCCCCACCTCCTTCCCCTATCTTCTTCTCTCATTTCTTACTCATTTTTTACCCATCTTCTTTCACATCTGCTCCATCATCTCCTTCTCAGTATCCCTCCTCTCTCTCCCCAGTTCCTTTCCCCCTCCTCTTCTCCAGCACAGATGCACTCCATATCGGGCTGCAACCACCCCACTTTCGCCCTCCCCTGGAGGACCCTCCTGCCTTATCTCATGGCTCTGCACCTCCTGCATCTGGGATCAGGTAGGGGTCCTGTGGAGCTGCTGTGCCTGGCAGAGCTGTTGCTCTGGGGTGAGGGAGCAGCCATGGGGCAGGCCAGGCCCAAGCCCAGCACCCAGACACACTAGGCTTTCACTTTCGCTTTGGGTGTATCATGAAACACGCCATTTGGGGTAGAATTTCTGGCTCTTCTTCACCTCCACCACACGTTGTCAGTGGGCTCCCACCCACACAAATCCTTCCCCACTCCCTCCTGCTCCCTCTCCAGTGCTTTTACATGGCATGGAGCACACACCAACTCATCCTGTGTCGCCCCATGACCCCACATTCACACAGCCACCATCTCACTGTCTCTCTGTGCCTTCTCATTGCCCAGCCCAGCTCACGGTGGTGGCACCGAGCCTCCATGTCACTGCCATCGTGGGACAGGACGTCGTGCTGCGCTGCCACTTGTCCCCGTGCAAGGATGCTGGGAGCTGGGACATCAGATGGATCCAGCAACGGTCCTCTGGCCTTGTGCACCACTACCAAAATGGAATCGACCTGGAGCAGATGGAGGAATATAAAGGGAGGACAGAACTGCTCAGAGATAGTCTCTCTGATGGAATCCTGGATCTGCGCATCACTGCTGTGAGATCCTCTGATAGCGGCTCATATATTTGCACTGTGGAAGATGGTGACAATTATGCCGTGGTGGACCTGGAGGTGTCAGGTCAGCGGCTGGGGTGATGCCTCCAGCTGTCCCTGGGTTTGTGTGTCCCACCCCCACCTCTGTCCATCCTCATCCT